TTTTATTTTAATTTTGTATCAAATCCATGCATATACTGCCCTCATCAAAAAGAGAGAGATTGTTAATTTTATAATTTAATTTTGATAATATCTAAAATATATTAGATATATTATAATTTTTTATATACATATTTCACACCTTTTGACACAAAATATATTGTTGGATATTTAACAATTGGTATAGATGCATATATGCATGTTTGAATGGAGATTTAGAATTTGTAAAGATTATGTGTTGAAAAAGAAAATATCTTCATATTTTTTGAAAAACAGAAAATCATATCATTTTGTTTAATTTGCTAATAGTCTTTGCAATCAATATTTATTGCATGTATGTATACATGACATTATATATCATTACACTGATTGTCAAAAAGAAAAGAGATGAGTTGGCAACGTGCAAGAATGGTGCTGCCGATTTTTTGATAGATTTTCAACTCGTGAAGCTTCTTGTCTCCAACGGACAGATTCATGATGATATATATAAAGCAACACTCTAGTTGAAGAAAAGCATAAGAATAAAAAATTTGTAAAGTTAGTGTTCTCTTATATTATATTGTGTTTTGTTGAGTTATATTTTTTAGAGAAAATTTATTGAGTATTAGAGTAAAATTGTAAAAGAGTTTTCTATCCCTTATTTTTATTATTCTTGCAAAAGAGAGAGTTTTTATGAGTGATTTTTTTATAGATAAAATTACTTGGTTAGGTGTAACTAAACACTGGATTCTAAACTAGTCGGAGTGATCGGAGTTGATCGCTTATTGTATAAGTTCACTAGCACTTGTGAAGTTAGGGGTATATTACTATTTGAAGAATAGTGAAGACATTCCTGAAGAGGATATTTGGGAAGTGGATGTAGGTTTGGATTGAGCTGAACCACTATAAATCGTTAAGTTTGATTTCTCTTCCCTTTGCCCATTTCATTTTTATTACTCTCATTTATATTATTGCACAAATTTATTAGTTTATCTATTGGGTTAATATTTTTAATTTACAATTTATCTAGAAATCCAATTCACTCTACTCTTGGGTTGTCTTCTAGGTAACAGCATTGATTACACGTACAGGGTGCTCACAGATTGGTTTTTGACAATTCGGTTTGCGGTTTGAACCCACCCGCATGCCTGCGGTTTGGGAAAAATTGAATCCGCAACCGCCCGTAGTGCGGGTTGAGATTTGTGTGGATAGGTTTCGCAGATATACAGGCGGCCGTAGGCGGTTTGCAGATTAAACTTTTTCCTTCAAAATTTCAGACTTCTTTTTTCCTATTTTTTAAATATTCTTGATTGCATGAGATTCAACACTATCTGCCATTAAAACTGGATTACAAAAAATTAGAATGAAAATTAAATAAAAACTAACTTAGAAAAAAAAAATCACATAACTAGATTTGTAAAAAATTGAAGAAGTTTCGATTTAAGAATAAGTATTTTAAATAAAGCAGTGTGTGATATTATTATAATGTTAGAGCCTAGAAGTTTGATAATCAAATTGAAGTGAGTAAGAGAAGAGAAGATTACACTTACAAAACTTACAAGAAAATCTAACGGTTTAGATTTTAAAAAAAAAAATTTATATGTATATAGATGAGGGCAGGTAGGTGCGGGTGCTGGTAAAACCTGCAACTAGACCGCAACCCGCAAAATATGAAAATCTTAATCCGCATCCGACTCTAACGATCTGTGAAACTGCCCAAATAGGCACAAGCGGATAACCTTATGCACATCCCTAATTATACATACTTGGTGGTAACCTAAATGGAGTATGATCGGTATGGTCTATCCTTTTTTTGCTACTACTAAACCAAATTTCTAGACTAATAATCAACTTTATTATGGATAGGCATTCTAACAAAAGCCAACTCTAGAGGACAAGTACGTTGTTTGTCTGGCATAGACACTAGGTAAGAGTTGTGACAATATAGTTGTCAGGTTTTTGTAATTGACAATCTTGTTTAACAAAACTCCTTTCAGTTATAAATTTATTCACCATTTTGTTTCAGTGAGGCTATGAGTGGCTAGATGTGAATCCAACCTGAATTGTGCTTACGCAGAGGAGTTTGTAATCTTAATCATTTCATGTTTGGCACTTTGCTAACTATGTACGAGCTCGCGAGGGTCTAAAGGGCAGTGCCCCATAGCGGGTCTAGGGCAATGCCTAGGCAGGGTCGAGGGGTAGCGCCCCTAAAGCAAAAAGCAAAAATGCAGTCAAAGTTGTTTGACAACTCGAGCGGTCGTTTATGAGCTAGAACGAAGAAAATGATTGTCTAGTACTTTTGCAGAGCACCTAAACTTCTAGAAAGAAATTTTTACCGCTGGAGCGGTCAGCTTGTATGTTTCACACTGCCTTTAGTCACACCACTTGAGCGGTGAAATATGCGCTTGAGCGATTTTTATGATCTAGTTTACTATAAAGTGCGTTGTTCGCTCGTTTTAGGGTTTAAGTCGTCTAGATTTGCAAAGAGAAAGAAAAAACTGAGTGTTTCCTATTAGAGGTTTTATGAGTATTTCTTTGATGATTTAAGAGTAACCAATGGATCCATGAACTTTATATCAACATCATCAAGAGTTTGTTTGTTTTCCTTTTATTCACAAAAGAGAGAGTTGTTCTTCGGTATATTTCGGGAAACTTGAGCCTGAAGCTTTGCTGGATTTCAGAGTGGCTCATTGTCATGGATTCGATATCAGTATTGTGGATTCAACGTTGGGCAAGACAATTCCAAGGTAAAGGCGGTAGTCAAAGAGGCACATTCGAGTCGGTTCAATTTGAGCATGGATTCGCTAAGTAATTGAGGGTACACTTGTATAATTCTTTTTTGTCTTCTTAGTAGATTATTTTGTGGCTTTGGTCCATTGTTTTTTAATCACAATTGGATGGCTCCAATTGTGATTTTTTTCATGTTAAATCGTTGTGTCGATTTGTCCTTGATTGTTTGATTAAGATTGTATTTATTGTTTATAAATTGGAACATAATCACAAATCAAAATCTCAGGGATCTTAGATTTTTCAGTAGTTTTGAAAGGAGATGCTAAGAAACTTTAGGTCATATTTGGTTGGAGGATTTGGTAAGAGATTTGAAAAGAGAAAGGAAAAAGATCACTACTACAAATAAGAGTTTTAGAAACCAAATATTTTGGTCTCTAAAAGTGAAAATTTTGTCGCAAAAGACTTTTAGAGACCAATTTCTATTATTATGAGGATAGTCGCTAAAAGATCGTCCCAAAAAGTCCAAAACAAGGCTTTTAGCGACAAAGTTTTGAAAATGTCACTAATAAATAGACTTTTAGGGACAAAATAATTTGATTTCAAAATGGTTTATTTTTTGAGACAAAAAATTTGGTCCTAAAAGGATAATAATTCATCACTAATGTCTAATTTTTGTTGCTAAAAAATAATTTTATCCCTAAATTTTGGTCTCTAAAACCTTAATTTTTTGTAGTGGATAGATGTAATGTGAATAAAATATACTTACATTTTACCTAATTTCACACACATTTTTTATTTTTCTTTTTAAATTCCTCTCAAAATTCCTCAACCAAACACAATCTTAGAATTTAAGGAAGGACGAAACTTAAAGACACTGTCATATGGTACAGAACGCTAGCTTGCAGGGTTGCATTGTGGACAAATAATTTGAAGCCTCACATTTAAGTCTCAATCATTCAACAGTCAAATGAGCATATTAAAAGGTGAATACATGAATTCCTACATCAATATTGTATTACGATAGAATGGAAAATCAAGATTTTGTGGACCTTGGATCATTCTAGATCACTACCTCACCATTCGAAAGTGGAAGCACGACTTTAAACCCTCCCAACCAAAGGAAATCTCTTCTGCTATCTGGGTTAGGTTTCCCCAACTTCCAATAAAGTATTACAATGAGAAGGTACTTTTCCATATTGCCAAAGAAATTGGTAAACCACTTAAGATTGATATTAATACAGCTACTTCATCTCAAGGAAGGTTTGCAAGAGTATGTGTGGAGATGGATCTTAACAAACCATTAAAGTCTCATTTCACTATTGGTAAGTATACCTATGGTATAGAATATGAACACCTCCATTCATTTTGCTTCTTCTGTGGTAGAGTAGGGCACCACAAGGAAAATTGTAGTGATGCTCCGACGAGACCTTCCGATGAGGGCTTGCCGTCTAAGAAACCAGGTCAAAATGTTACCGTTGGAGTGGAGGGGTTTGAAACACCAACAAAAGCAAGAGATGGGTTAGGCCAAGAGGATAATTCCAACTCAGTCATTAATGAAACCAACTATGGCCCATGGATGCTAGTGAATAGAAAAGGCCCAAGAAGTATTCCACTTGGTAGGAAACAGCAAAAATTTGAAGGCAAAAGGAAGGCCCAGATGAGTGATTCAGCCAAAACCCATCATAACAACAGTGGTGTATTCTTAGGAGACAGCTCCACGAATCAAAGCAAGATTTTTCAAGATTTGCACAAAAAAGAGAGCCCCTCAACAGCTACAGGTATTGTCACTCCAAACCCCTTTGGTACGCTAAGTTCTGGTGATGTCTTGATGGAAAATTCAGATCAAGTCAAAGGCAATACTTCTGAGATGATCATTATAGCTGGCAATAACTCTAAAGCTCTCTCTGCTGAGAAAGTCTCTAAACCTGCTATTTCAAGAGTTATAGAACCACCTGACCCACTGCCCTTGGTTTCATATTTCACGAGGACCCCTATCTTAGAGAAATTGGTTGAGCATGGAGATACCCGAAGAAAATCAACACAAGATTCAAACCAACTCAATCTATCTTTCCATAGATCAAGAGAAAGAAGCCATTCACCTAGTAAGCACAAAGTGGTGGATAGGAGAAGCCCGCCTCATCATAGAGCAAGAGGAGATGAATCACTACGGAGAAAAGAACATCTCAGTCCGAGTGAGCTCCATCAATTCGGTGGTCTTCGATCATTTGAAAGTGAGAAAGATATTGGGAATGCCTGACTCTGTTCCTCTTCCTTCATACCCTAACTTTATCTCCATGAAGCTCCTCATATGGAATTGTAGAGGTGCAGGCAACAAGATTTTCAGAAGAACTCTGAAAGAATTGGTTCAGAATTACAAGCCATTGATTTTAGCTTTAATGGAAACGAAAGCTGAGCTCAGTGCTATGGGGCAGTTCTTCAACAAGTTGGGTTTCACCGCTTCATCTCATGTGGATCCTGTGGGCAGGAGTGGTGGTATCTGGATTCTGTGGGATCCATTTCGTGCAACCATTAAAGCCTTAGAGGTGAATGCTCAATTCATTCATGCCAAGATTCAACGAGATAATCACTCAGACTGGATTTTGTCATCCATCTATGTTAGCCCTAACCCTAGAGTTAGGGATAATCTGTGGGAAAATTTGGAAGCTGCGGCAGATAACATTAACCATCCTTGGCTTATGGCAGGGGATTTTAATGATATCACATCGCAAGGGGAGAAGAGAAGTTTCTCAACAAACCATAGCAGTATTAGAACTTGAAAATTCAATGCAAGACTGAACAGATGCAATCTCATGGACTTAGGTTGTTCTGGCCCTAATCTTACTTGGTCTAATGGTCGGCAAGGCCTTGCTAATACAATGGAAAGACTTGACTGAGTTGTGTGCAATACAGAGTGGAGACTTGCTTTTACAGAAGAAGCGGTTAAGAATCTTCCCCAAACTTACTCTGATCATTCTCCCATGATTGTTTTCACTCAAGGTATGAATTCTCCTAACCCCTCAGCTAGACCTTTTCGTTTGGAAGCTACTTGGTTTACAGATTCTAGTTTCAAAAATGTTGTTGAAAAGTCTTGGGCTGATAGTCATTTTTCTGTTCCTGAGGCCATTGATTTGGTTACTAAAAATGCTTTGAGTTGGAACAAAAATATTTTTGGAAATATTTTCAGGAAAAAAAAGTGGCTCTTGGGTAGGATTGAAGGTATTCAAAAATCTCAATCTCGTATTTATTCTCATAATCTATTTTTGCTTGAGAAAGAACTTGTCAAAGATTATAACACTATCCTTTACCAAGAGGAACTTTTATGGTTCCAAAAGTCTGAGGCTAATTGGATTACCCAAGTGGAGCGGAATACTAGATTTTTTCACATATCTACCATTGCTAGAAGAAGAAGAATGAGAGTTACAACTCTGAAGAATATGGAGAGGGGTTGGATTTCTAATCCTGATGACCTTTGCTCTCATGTCCTGAATTATTTTTGTGATTTGTTTAAATATGATGCTACTGTTCACACCTCCTTTAGCCCCATTAACTTGCAACCCAAATTTTCCAATAAAGATAACATTGCCCTTTCTAAACATATTACTAACCAGGATGTGTGGGAGGCTATCAAAAGTATTAAAGCCTTTAAAGCCCCAGGGAGTAATGGTATCCAGTCCATTTTTTATCATACCCATTGGGATATTGTTGGTCCCTTGGTTTGCAAGTTTATCCAAACTTGTTTTGTGAATCAATATATTCCTGAAAACTTTAAAGACACCCTTATTACCCTTATTCCTAAGGTTAATAATCCTGAATCAATTAACCATTTTAGACCTATTAGTCTTTGCAATGTTCTCTATAAGACTCTTACTAAAGTGTTGGTGAGCAGACTCAGACCTTTGTTATCCTCCAATGTTGGTCCTTTCCAAAGCAATTTTATCCATGGAAGGACTACTTGTGATAATATCATCATTGCTCAAGAGATTGTTCACACTCTCAGAGGTAAAAAGGGTAAAACAGGTGACTTGATCTTGAAAATTGATTTAGAGAAAGCTTATGATAATGTGTCTTGAAATTTTCTTCATCTTACTCTGGTTGAACTTAATTTGAATGATCATTGGATTGATCTCATTATGAATTGTGTTACTAATATCAAAGCTTTTGTCCTCTGGAATGGTGAAAAGTTAACTGTTTTTAATATGGAGAAGGGGTTGAGACAGGGGGACCCCCTTTCTCCCTATCTTTTTGTTTTATGTATGGAAATATTGTCTAACATGATCATTGATAAAGTTGCTTGCAAGGGGTGGAAAGGGGTTAAGGCTTCTGCCAATGGCCCTGTCATATCCCATCTGTTTTTTGGTGATGACCTTCTCTTATTTGGTAAAGCTGATGAAAGAAATTGTGAGAATATCATGGGGGTTTTGAATGAGTTCAGTTTGCAGTCTGGTCTCAAGATTAATCTTCTTAAATCCAAGCTTTTTATTTCTCCCAATGTTGAAAATTTGAAAGCCAAGTCCTTGAGCAATTTGTGTGGCATTTCCCTAACCCAAGATTTGGGTAAGTATTTAGGCATTCCTTTGCTTCATAAGAAGTGCAGCAGGAGTCATTTTCAATTTATTCTTGATAAAATTCAAAATAGACTCACTGGGTGGAAAGCTAATTTGCTTTCTCTGGCTGGGAGAGCCACTCTTATTCAGTCGGTAACCTCAGCTCTCCTTACTTATGCTATGCAAACTCTTGATGTTCCTATGTACATTTGCAAAGAGATTAATAAGTTAAATAGGAACTTCTTATGGGGTGACACTGTGAATAACAAGAAAATTCATCTTGTTAATTGGGCCAATGTGTGCAAGAGTAAGAGAATGGGAGGCCTTGGCCGCAGGGAGGCTAAAAACCACAATTTGGCTCTTACGTCTAAGATAGGGTGGAAATTGTTGTGCAAGGACAATTGTTTGTGGGTGAGAGTGTTAGAAAGCAAATATTTGAAGAATGATAAATTTCTCTCTTATTCTGGCAGAAGGAGCTCCTCTCATATCTAGAGAGGAGTTCTTAAAACCAGAGACATTTTGAGAAATTGCATCAAATGGGGCATTGGTGATGGTACTAAAGTGAGAATATGGCATGATTGGTGGTGTGGGGAGGCTACTTTAGCATCTCAATACCCAAATTGGGATTCCATTAACATGCAGACTGTTGATAATCATATAACTGATGAGGGTGAATGGGATGTGGATTCTATCAAACCTCATCTTCCTAATGAAGCCATGGATTGTGTGCTAAAAGTTAAACTTCCCAGGTTTGTTACCTTCTCCGATTTTCCTCATTGGAAGGGTTCAACAAGTGGGGAGTTCTCCACTGTTGCTGCTTATAAATTCATTCTAATCAAAGGGATAACCTCTGTGACATGGATTGGGTTTGGAAATTAAAAATCCCACAAAAGCTCAAAGGCTTCGTGTGGTTGGTTTTTAATGGGAAACTGTTGACTAATGCTATGAGAATGAGAAGAGGGTTTACGGAGAATGCCAATTGCCCTAGATGTGATTCCCTTGTTGAAAACATTGAGCATCTATTACGAGATTGCTCTAGTTCAAGAATCCTTTGGACTAATTTGAAGGGTAGGCACTAGTTTGATATGGAAAGTCAATACAACTTAATTGATTGGCTTACAAGGAATTTACGGGTTCCAATTAGCATGGACCCAAGTTGGAGTTTGATGTTTGCTGTTACAATTTGGAAAATCTGGAAGGAACATAATCAAAAAGTCTTTGATAACATAGACCCATCTTGACAAAATACTTTAGTTCTTATTCATAATTATGTTAATGAGATTAAACAAGCTTATTTCATGTCTTTATCTTCTCAAACAAGTGTTCCCATTTTAATTAAGTGGTTGCCTCCTCTTACAAGTAAGATCAAATTGGATACTGATGGAAGCGCCAGAAGAGATCCAGGAGAAGGTGGATTTGGGGGAGTTTTTCGAGATGAAACAGGAATTTGGCTATGCGGGTATTTTGGAAAGCTTGACTCTTGCTCAAGCTTGGAAGCTGAGATGTGGGGCTTGTACAGAGGATTGACGATTGTGCTAGAGAAAGGACTGCATGAAGTAATCATTGAAACTGATTCATCATTGGCTAAAAATCTGTTAACTGAAGGACCATTACAAAACTGCTTGTTTCACAGTATTGTTGAAGACTCAAGGCATCTTATTCGAAGATGCAATTGCACTATTCACAGCATCATGCGAGAAGGCAACAAGTGCGCCGACATGCTTGCAAAAATGGGTTCAAACCAAATGGATCAGCTTGTGGTTATGGAGGAACCTCCTGCTAAAGTCCGAAGTCAGCTAGTGGCTGACATGATTGGAACGGCTTATCAGAGGATTTAATTCCCGATTTGCTTTCCTGCTTTGTGTTTTTTGTTGTTTTTCCTTCTTTGTTTTGTCTTTCATTTTCGATGTACCAAAAAAACAAAGAAAATCAAGATATTGTAGTTATTAGAAATGAACAGTGTCCTAGTCTAATTACAGTGGGAAAAGAAAGGACCAAAGAAACTAATTCATAGAAAAATTCATTGGCCAACAATACTGTCAAAAAAAAAAAAAAGAATGTAAAAGAAGGAAAACGGTGTCCTTATATGTTGTTCGGGGACCACTTCTTCAGTATCAGCAAGAGAGACTTCTTCATTTCTATCCTGCCTTCTTCAGAGAAGAGAGAACTTATGTTTTCTTCACTAATTAATTTGTAGTTATATTAATGATAAATCACAAACTTAAGAAAATTTATTGCATAAAAAATAAAAACAACATAAATATGAAATTATGAGTTTTACATGAATGTTATGTTGGAATTTTTAGAGTCTTTCACATCATTCTAGAATGTTGGGAGAATGTAGAAGACTCCAAAAAATTCTAAAGAAATTTAGAAGGTTTTAGAATATCCTAAAACAATCTGAAATCTAATAGAACATTGTCGAAGTCTAAAAAAATGCACAAAGTCCTCAAGTTTTTTAGAGAAATATAAAAAAACTCTCCTATGTATTAAAATAATTTTAAAAAATTTAGAATATAATGGAAGGATGAAATGTCATCATAGTATATCTTGGAAGCCTAATAATGGCCTTTGGATCAAGTTGATGCTAGCCTTCCATTGAAAAGGTGAAAGACTATAAAGGAAAGAAACCTTATTTTGAAGTCACAAAAGAAATGGGGCATTTACACCCATGTCTTAGATAAGATATTTTGGTCTTTCAAGTACCATTAATATTTAATAGACGAAATTACTTTTCAAATAAGAATTATTTATCATTTGTAATTGTTTATATAAAAGTATGGTAATTTAACATTTATTTTAATTTTTAAAACTTTCAATTATCATAACTTTTATAATATATTTATTTTTTATAAAATTTATATTTGTAGAATCAATACAGCAAAATTTATCAAATAAGATTAATATCAAATAAAAAATTATATAAAAATAAAAATATGTTTTTTATTATAAATTTACAATTTAAACCATTTTACTTAACTAACAATTTTTAAAGTCCAATTTAGGATAAATTATTTATAAGTCCTATTTAGAAGACTTATATAAGATATGATCCTATGAAAAAACTTATAACCTAATAGGTAATGTGGTTTTCTCGTGGACATAGCTACCCTAATTTTAATTAATTAATAACCTAATTAATGATAATATCATATATAGGAAATCTAATGTTATGTGATCATATCTATATGGTTAGAAATTTAAAATTCAAAATAACCTAATTAATGGCAATACCATATATGAAAATTTCAATATTACCATAAATTGTGATCATATCTATATGGTTGAAAATTTGAAATTCAAAACGTAAATGTAACATGTAACGTCCCAAACTTAATGTGACATTCTCAAACCCAACGTGCTATTCCCATATGCTTGTCTAATGGTCAGCAAGGCCTTGCTAATACAATGGAAAGACTTGACTAAGCTATGTGCAATACACAATACAGAGTGGAGACTTGCTTTTACAGAAGAAGCGGTTAAGAATCTTCCCCGAACTCACTCTGATCATTCTCCCATGGTTGTTTTCACTCAAGGTATGAATTCTCCTAATCCCTCAGCTAGACCTTTTCATTTGGAAGCTACTTGGTTTACAAATTCTAGTTTCAAAAATGTTATTGAAAAGTCTTGGACTGATAGTCATTTTCCTGTTCTTGAGGCCATGGATTTGCTTACTAAAAATGCTTTGAGTTGGAACAAAAATATTTTTGGAAATATTTTCAGGAAAAAAAAGGTGGCTCTTGGGTAGGATTGAAGGTATTCAAAAATCTCAATCTCGTATTTATTCTCATAATCTATTTTTGCTTGAGAAAGAACTTGTCAAAGATTATAACACTATCCTTTACCAAGAGGAACTTTTATGGTTCCAAAAGTCTAGGGCTAATTGGATTACCCAAGGGGAGCGGAATACTAGATTTTTTCACATATCTACCATTGCTAGAAGAAGAAGAATGAGAGTTACAACTCTGAAGAATAGGGAGGGGGGTTGGATTTCTAATCCTGATGACCTTTGCTCTCATGTCCTGAATTATTTTTGTGATTTGTTTAAATATGATGCTATTGTTCACACCTCTTTTAGCCCCATTAATTTGCAACCCAAATTTTCCAATAAAGATAACATTTCCCTTTCTAAACATATTACTAACCAGGATGTGTGGGAGGCTATCAAAAGTATTAAAGCCTTTAAAGCCCCAGGGAGTAATGGTATCCAGTCCATTTTTTATCATACCCATTGGGATATTGTTGGTCCCTTGGTTTGCAAGTTTATCCAAACTTGTTTTGTGAATCAATATATTCCTGAAAACTTTAAAGACACCCTTATTACCCTTATTCCTAAGGTTAATAATCCTGAATCAATTAACCATTTTAGACCTATTAGTCTTTGCAATGTTCTCTATAAGACTCTTACTAAAGTGTTGGTGAGCAGACTCAGACCTTTGTTATCCTCCAATGTTGGTCCTTTCCAAAGCAATTTTATCCATGGAAGGACTACTTGTGATAATATCATCATTGCTCAAGAGATTGTT